AAGACATTAGTGACAGTGCACACGGTACATTTTTATTCTTCTGTTGCACTCCTTGACAAGTGAAGTAATGAAGACAAATATAATTTCAATGGTAAGGCCATTTCTATAATCAGAGTAAGTGGACTGATGCATCCAGAGTCTTAAAAATTTTACGTACCAAATAGGTGCACCTACTCTCTCAATGAGACAATATGGACTCCAGAATAGAGCTTATTTACAGTCTAGATTGTTCAGAAAATCAGACTGCATTGTACATCGTTGTTTCTCAGATGTAAATGTGCATATGAACCACTGGGAATCTCATTAAACTGTTCACTGCCATTCAGTTATCCTTAGTGGGGCTAGAGATTTTGCAGTATCTAAGCAGTGCCAAGGTGATCACCACATTCATATACCGTGAAGCACATTTTTAAAAAGCATAGATTAAATAGATGCAAATGCATCAAATCCAATCAGAAAAGTAAACTGGCTCCATATCACAACCAATATGAACTGAAAGAGTCTCTCTATATTAAGCATTTTCAGTTGTTGGGGGAAAAAAAACCTCAGTTACAACTTCAGCAATTTCTAACCAGTTATTATCAATAAAAGTAAGCCTAGAGGTTCTAAATACCATAACATGTCAGAGCTGATAACTAATGTCATACTTTCCACTAACATAGAATATATTTCTTCTACATTTCACAGTGCACCAGTTCTATTTCAATTGTTGCAGTGTCAAGGAGATTTTGACAACACATTTCTGGTCTAGTAAGGGCAAATATATTTGTAAAATAGGTCTCAGATAATTACTTTCTCAAATAGTAGAGCCATCCCATCCATAAAGCACACAACAAGTAGACAAAGCTAAACAAGTAAGAAACCATGGAAGCAATAAATTAGTTTAGTAAAAGACATATAAGCCTATAATCTATTGTTTTGTAAAACTCAATGAGCATGTACTTTCACCACTGATTAGTTTGGCAGTAGAAAATTTATGGGTCTATGTGTTTATGCTATTGAAGCCACTGAAAGTTGACTCAATGATCCTTTCCCCTAAATCTCAGTTTCTCTCTCAATCTCTCCACTTTTCCACTGAGAGAAAAGTGACAATTTCATAAGAATTAGAGGCTCAGAGAGACGATAGAAGTTAGCAGGAAAATACACAGACATCCATTCATTTAAAGAAAAATAAACAGTAAATATATGCCCCACTGTAGGTCTCTGATGCATGACTCCACCTAGGCCCCTGGCAGCCAAGTGTACTGACTCTAGAGTGATAGACACCTTAAATCCTGCCTCTGCCATTTCCTACTTATGTGACCTTACACTTTTGTTAATAGTTGCCACACAGAAGATTCTATCTGCACAGAAAGTTTTAAACTGGAAAGGTTCTCATTTATCTTTCTAAAATTATCACCTTTTACTCTCAAGCCAGTATACCTAGATACAGTGTATTCAGTGTAAGTATATGCTATTTCAGTTTTAGCTGACTCCACTGTAAAATAAAAATCAAGCATTCATTTTTATTCTGTCAGAAATTACACTATATAAAAATGCAATACTTTTGTACAATAAAATTTTAAATACAAAGTGGAGTAAATGTATTTGAAAATGTATATTATACAAAATTTCCATGGTATCATTTCAATCAAGATGAGGTATATTAAAATACTATACTTAAATATGAGTAGAGCCTTTGGTCAAGTTTAGAAATTACCAACTTGTAGGAATGGCTGGTGTTCATGAAAAGCCAACTGCTTTGAGCGTATGACTTCTCTTCTCATTGGAAAATGGGACAGAATACTAATAACTGCCCCATGGACGTGTTGTTCAGTTTAGACGTGTGAAAATATGCAAAGTTGTTAGCATAACCCCTGGCAGTAATGTTGGCAGGGTACTTCACTTCTCTGGGCTTCAGCTTCTTCATATGCTACATGAAGACACTGGCTGATTATTAGAGAGTCTCTTTCAGCTCAAACTCAAAAAATTAAATGAAAAAATGCAGTGTCTTTCTCTCATTCAGATAGAAATTGTAAAACAAACCTTAAAACACAAATGCTACATTCTCATTTTAATCTTTTAAGCTCTCTGAAATGAACAACATATGCCTAGATGTCACATTCTATCCAGAGTGGCCTAACTGAAGCCTTGTGCCTGTTAATCTTCATTTATATTTGAAGAAAGTCTTAGAAATTACTAGTTGAATACAAGATGAAACTATTTAGACAGGGTACACCTGATGTATGCAATAAGAGATAAAATCAAGGAAAAAGCATTTCCCCTTACAATAAACAGCATTCATTGCTTACTTATAATAATCTATGACTGTGATTTTTGAATTTATAGCTCGTAACACCCTTCTGGACTGCTTTTTTTGTTTGTTTGTTTGTTTGTTTGTTTTCCTGTACCGGGAATCAAACTCACGCTATTGCGCTTGCCAGGCAGGCGCTGCGCCGCTGAGCTAAATCCCCAGCCCCTTGGACTGCTTTTTTATCTATATTCTCAAATTATAATCTTTGATGTCATATTGGATGATGCCTCAAACTTCAGCAGAAGTTGAACAGCCGTGCTTGAACTCTCATTCAAGTACAACTTGAGCTCTGTGGAACAATGCTGTTAGAAACCAAAAGGGCAGGACAGTGAAAACAAATGTATTATGTGATAACAATTGTGGTAACTACCACAGTAATCAGTGTGATTTAAGACATACACAAGTGAAAATTATCCAGAACGGTCAATGTAAAAGTGCAATTGAAGATATAACACATTAAAAAATAATTAGCAGATTTCAGGAGGACACATGATGCAATGTTGTCAGGACAACAGATTATCTCTAAAGTTAATATTTTTCAAACTAAGAAATTTACAGACAAAATTGCTTCTGGGCTCTTAATCACTTGGTTTTGTTTTTGAGGACATATTATATTTGGAGGTCACCCATTGTATAGTGACCACCAAAATATCTTTCCATGATTACATTCAGATTCTTTAAGTCACTGGTGGTTCTCTTGTCTAACAAATAATGAATAAGTTTTCATATGTATGCAGTTCTCTGTATGACAATATTAGTTCATTTCCACCGAAATATTTTTAAGGGGAAAAACTAACTTAGGCGGCTACAGATATTCTGATTTATCAGTCAGGTGCTATGGATGTATGATAAAGAAGTAAATGGAAAAAAAAATAAATGGCATGATCACAATCATTAAGATGTGGGATGAAATTCAGTTGAGAAATCCATTCAAACACACACACACACATACAGTCATACACACACACACACACACACACACACACACATCAAAACAAGAAGACAATACAAATGAGGTTATAACAAACTGATGAACACAGTAATTGATGTGGGAGTTCTAGGAAAGGTGATCCTGATAGCAATTGGGCTAGAATTGGAAGGTACTTATGGAGATGTATAATTTGAACAGAGCTTCAAATATGGGTAAGATTTGAATCACTAAATGTTATCCTAGATGAAGGAATTGATAGTGGTGTGAGGAGAAAAGTTATGGAGGTTACTGATTAGGGGCTAGTAAAGAGAGATGTCAAACTGCGGTGGAGAATGAGGCTAGATTACAAAATTTGTTGAAATCCAGGTGGGATTTGGAACAATAGAAAATAGAAAACTGATAATGTTTTGATTAGAGAAAATGGTAACAATAGGTATTCACGCACCAGGTGGGATAAATTAAGGGTTTGGGGCACAGGTGAAGGCTAGCGAGCAAGGTCCTTTAGTGACTGGACTGGCTGTGATGAAAGTTTAGGTTGCAGCATAACGGGACAATTTTATGAGAGGGCTTTTGAAAAAAATTTGCCAAGATTAGATAATGTCTTGATGAAAATGGAGTAAAATCCAGATTTGTCTCTGAAATAGGAATCCGTGATCAGACTGTGGAGGGAAATTTAAAAACTTACTGTAAAATTTCTCCACCACGAGCACACAGAGAGGTTTTTCCTCACAATTACTGAAAAACATAAGCCTTCTCAACAAAGGGACATTTGATAAGGTCTCTCAAAATACAATTCGACTTCAGTGGTTCTGCAGAAAGACAGAAGAGGAAGAAAAGACAACACCTTGAAACGTAAAACAGAGACTAGGAAGTAAAGCCAAGAAGAAAAGACAGGAAAGGAAAATTTCTTTCTCTAAATCTTCACAATGGAGCTCATTTTGAGTCTCTTCGAAGTTTAACATTCAAAATCACTGACTGTCACTCCAAATTAGAGCTCTTTGAAGATTGAACTTCTGGGCTGGATTTATTGGAATAATTAGTGTTTTTCCCCTCCAGTTTCTCATCTGACAACATTCTATTCCACAAATTCTCCAAATTCTTTCTCTCATTTCAAAACTAGTATCTGGAGATTCAGAACACGCTTAAATGCATGAGGCTAATTTTGCGGCTGCATAAATTAGGTAGGTCAGATTTAAAGTAAATGGCAGATGCCTACACTTCAACTGACCCTTGAAACGTCTCAAGATCAACTCCTTACCTCTTCCCATATTCAACCCAGGCAAGGTTCAGCCCCACCCCCTTCAGCGAAAAGGAAAAAAAGCCTGCGCAAGCTCCATGCTAAAATCGCCTCGAACCCCCACCAAGGTGCTAACGCGCAGGCGCATCGTCTTCCAAGTGTTTGAGTAGGGGTGTGAGAAATTTACTCTCCAATAAAATCTGGAAGTGATAGATACCAACCTTCTTTCTTCGGAGGCAGAGGCGCCACTTCCTCCTACTACCGGGCCAGAAGAGTGCCCCCAAACTCGCCCTTTTGGAGCAGTGCTCTGTGTTCTCTGGCAGTACCCACTGTATTGCTATCCTCAGCTCCTTTCTAACCTCATGGCGCTGCTAACCTTTCCTGGAAGGGTAAAGGCAGTTGGTTCCCCACGAGCCGCACCGGACTGTTCGCTGGCTCTTTAATCTACAGAATTTACGGGTCCCTGCTGGACACAGCATTATGCTACTGCCTTGCCTGCCCTTCTTCGCCCTTCACATCCACCCAGGTTAGATCCTTACCTCGGACGTGATGGAGTCACAGAAGGGATCAGAGGATCCCAGATAGTATTAGAGGATCCCGAGAAGGCCAGTGCTGGAGCAGAAGGATTCAGAGATTTTTCCTGGATCTCCACTGCCGCCTCAGACAATGAAATCAGCGTGTCCGATCATCAATTCTCATCATGATCGTGACGTCACAAAAGACAGCGGCCAATGAGAACCCGAGATCAGCTCGGACAGTCCCAGGCTTCAGCCCAGAACCCAAGAGTGGGGAGGGGGGAGGAGACATGGCTGCCTGCACTGGGGCTGCCTCTTTCTGGTACAGAAAGAGGCTGAATGTATGGCCAGCACTTTCCCCCTCTCCCCCTCTCTCTCAAAGGCGCTGATTACTGTGAGCATCCAGCACTCCTGTGACTACAGTAGTTATGCGACAGCTATTCGAGCAGGTGCCTGCCTGATCTTCTAACTTGAGATTCACTTTCAGCAAATTGTCCCACACTGACAAAAGCAAGAGATAGCATTAAAAAATGCAGTCATTGTACTGACATGTATATATTCAGTTTTATTAAAACTAAAAAGTTGCCAGCCTTTGGAATTTTTCAATAAGAATGCGCTGCTATATGTTCCATGGTTTAGGCAAAAAACTATGTGTTCCCTTTACCTAACTTTAACCCTTGTTTTCCAGAAGTTACTTGGGTGATTATCACTACAGGAAAAACAAGCTACATGTTATATCACCCAACGCTCACTTGATATAACTTCCATATTTAATGTATATCATGGACACATAGAATCCACTGTTTCTCTGCTATTTTAGAACTTGCAGTATCATTTGGAAGAAAAGATTAGCGCACAGTAAACATTTACAGTAAAAGTATATGGTAACGTATTTAAGAGCTACATTAATTTATGACTAGAAACATCAATAAAATGGGAAAGATGAGGATCCATTTTATGCTAGAATTGGAATTTAACCTCTGGATAAGAGAAAATAAAAGAACTCTCTTAAAGGAAAGAGGCAGGCAAAGTTAAAGAAGTATAAGTGTATATGATTTCAGTAAATTCATGATGAAACACCCTTGAAAATAAAAGTCATATATTAAGGACCAGTGGAAGTTAAGATAGACTGATAATAAAAACCTTTGCAAATAGGTGGAGAACTTTGATTAGGATAAAAGCTACAAAAACACCTTAGGGCAAGAGATCTCATTCCCTTGTAATCAAGTATTTACAAAACAGCTTTGGTGAGTTTTTTTCAAACAAGAGTATGATCTGCTGGGCTCCAGATTGTCCGATTGTTTCCATTCTCATATTCCATTGTCAAGACACAACTTCCTTATACTGTGGCCAAGGCCCTAAATGATCTGGACCTGCCATGTTTCTTACCTCATTTCCTACCACTCTATCACTAGCTGAATTTGTATTTATATCAGAATTATTTCAGTTTCTCAAACAAGCCAAGCTCACACTCACATCAGAAACCTGATAGTGTAATGCCTTATAGTCTTTGTATGATCAAATGTAACCTCCTTGAAGAGGCACCTATTTAAAATTTTGGTTTTCTTTACAGCACCTACTTAACATTTTGATGTTCTTAACACTCCATATGTGTCCCCTTTACTATTTTATTTTTTATCATAGCACCTATTATCAAGTCTAATCTATATTTCAGTTACTGAAAGTAACTAAAGTACCATATTTTTAGGTACCACTTACCATCAAGTGTAGTCTACATTTTTAGTTACTATATTTTTAGTTACTGGGTGTATTTTTAACAACTGTACCCCAAGGGCAGTTATAGTTTTTTAACTGTTTTATCTATATGGCATCTAGAAAAAATGCTGGACATAAAGTACACACAAATCAGTAACTACATCTTTTGGTACTAGAAATTGAACCCAAGGCATTCACACAGAAGTGCATCTTCTCTTTAATATTTTTTATTTTAATATAGGGTCTTTATGTAACTATGATTCCAGGCTAAACTCAAACTTAATCCTCCTTCCTTAACTGAAATTATAGGTATCTCACATCAGGTCTGGGTCAATAAGTACTTCTTGAAAGAACAACTCCAAGTACTGAAATTATAGGTATCTCACATCAGGTCTGGGTCAATAAGTACTTCTTGAAAGAACAACTGAAATTTAAATTTCAAGTCATTAATTTACATTTTTAATCACACTGGGATGGACAGAAGTGAGAGAAAATAATTAAGACAGTTGTAGTTGTAATGCAGAATCTAGATTGTATGGGTTTCAATCATTCTATTAAAAGAAGGAATGAAAATATATAATGGAAACTGAGACATTTAAAAAGAACAAGTCTCTCTGTCCTTCTTTTCAATCCTGGCCTTCCTTCCAGCCATCATACCTCAGTGAAAGGAGTCACTGGTGAGGAGGTAATATGCTATTTTTGACAACCCTTAGGCTGTAACTCCTTAATAGGTCCCTCTTGCATATCTCTGTCTTCCTGAGAAACCACTCTGAAGACACCACCATGTATTACAGCAGCCATTGATATTTTCCTACTAATCTATCCATAACTGTGTAAAGTTTGTAATGTTCCTATCCTATTTCATAAATGGATGTATGTTTATTATTATGTGTTTCCTACAACAACCATTGAAAAGAGTTAATGATTTTTCAATAGGTCACTCATGTATAGCTCTATTTATTTTCTTTAGAAGCCACTTTGAAGATACCAAAGTATAGTACAACAACTCTTGATAATCTCCTACCTCTTTTGTCTGTAACTCACTATTATTTGTCTATTTGTTTTCCTGAGAAACTATTTTGTAGACAATAATATGTAAAATGATAACCATTGATAGTTTCCTGCCATTTTGTCTGTAATTTGCTAAGTCCCCCCTATTATTATGTTATCCTTCTTTTATTCTTTAAAATTAAAAAAAAATAAAAAAAAAACACTAAAAAGGGTCTAAAGCACAGATTAGGGAATGCCCTGTTAACGGTAAAATAACACATTTATTAAGTTTCTACTTTGTTCTTGGAACTGAGGTTACATGGAGATTAGTCACATTACAGAGCTACATGCATATCCATGTTTATAACAATACAGTTTATAATAGCTAAATCTTGAAAACAGCCTATACGCCCATCAATAGATGAATAGATAAATAAAATGTGACCTTTATATATAATAGAGTACTACTCAGTCATAAAGAACTATAAAACTTAAGGCAATCATAGGTAAATGGATACCTATGGAGACCACAATATTAAGTGAAACAAATCAAATACACAAGCTTAAATATCACATAGTCTCCCTTATATGAGAAACCCAAAATATAAAGAGCAAGATAAAAGATAATAGGAAGTAGAATGATTTTTTTCAAATGGAAATGAGAAGAAGAGATGGAGGGGGAGAGGAGAGAAAAAAATATTTGAAGGGAAAAAATGAAAATACAGCTTTTGCAAATGAAGAGGGGACCAAGAATGGGAGGCAGCAGGGAGGGCTGCAAGGAGTAGGGGATAAAAAATAATTAAAATGTACTATGTGTGAAATTCTCACAACAAATGTAATCACTATGTACCCAAACATGTACTGATAAAGATAATTAAAGAAGATCAAAGCCTGTACCACTGAAGAGTTTAAACTCCACCTGACAAAAGGAGACATACATAAAACCAGATTACAAAAGTAAGCAGTTATATTCATTCAGCTATTCATTCATTTCCACTTATACTCTGTACTCAAGCTATCAATATGATCAAGGCTATCCTTTCAAAATGTGCCCAAAATGTGAGTACTGATTACCTCTTCAGTCATTCTATCTGAGTCACTAGCACCTCTATTTTGAACTACTACAAAACCATATTCTACAATTTCTTATCACTTACACTCATCCATCTTCAATATTTTCACTTAGAGCAGTCAAAATACTGTTTAAATTTTTAAACAGATAAAATCATTCCCTGAATTAAAATTCTCCAAATTCTTCCTACTAAATTAACCCAAAAAAAATATTAAAAATCCTTGACATGGCTCATTGCCTACAACTTCTTTCTGTCCTGGTTCAATATGCTCCATTTCACTGTTCTTTGATTTCTTCTGGAAAGTATGTTCCCTCTTCAGAGACTTTGCACTTGCTATGCTTTATTGAAAAACTCTTCTTAAAGATCTTCACATAGAATATGTCTTCTGATCCCTCGGGGACTATGCTAAAATACAATCTTCTTAGATTATCTTGATGAACGAATCTATTTAAAATAGTGCCTCTAAAACAAAACAATATCTCTTCCATATCTTTCCTGTTTTATTTTGCTCATGTCACTGAGAAATTATGAAATTTATTTGCTTTCTCACACTAGAATTTAAAGTCTACATATAAGTTAAATAGTATTTCTTATGGTAGAGGGAGCTAAAGGATTTCCAGTAGATTATGTATGAGCTTGCTGGAGCAGGTAGATCTTAGGTTAATAAATTTCTTGTTAAATAAATTGAGATGATGATACACACAGTGGATTATTTAGTCATAAGAATGTTAGTAGTCCTGGGGCTGGGAATATAGCTCAGTGGCACAAGTGCCTGTCTAGCAAGCACAAGGTCCCGAGTTTGATTACCAGAACCAAACCAAAAAAAAAGAATGTTAGTAGTCCAGAGGAGTCATCTGGAAAGGGATTCTTTGTTTAGCACCATGAAGTATGGGTCATTTCAGAATACTTCAAATCAGTATCATTTTTTAATCTGCATAAATACATCAATGTTATAGCTTCTGTCCAGATGTCCCTCCAAAGCTTCATGCAGTCCTAGGTGGGGCCTTTTGAAGGTGGCTGGATCTAGGGTGTGTGATGCTAGGATCAAGGATGTGATGATATGATTAAAGGTGTGATATATAAGGGTTGGAAAGAAGCTGGGTAAGATATAAGGGTCAGAAAGAAGCTTGTCTCTTATCACTTGTCGCTTGCCTGTTCCTTTCTACCTTCTGTTGCCATAAACAGATACTCTGTTTATCTGTTACTCTTCTGCTATGTTCCTCTGCCATGCTACCCTGCCTTAGCCAATTATGACCTGAAATATCTACAAACTGTGAACCAATTAAACCT